GTGCTATGGGAAACAAGGCAAATTTTCAGCACGTTTTAACAGGGATGGGGGCTTGTGATTTCTAAACCCTTACATTTGAAAAGCATAAGTCTAGTAAGTTCTATAATAATTCACCCAGATGCACAACAATCACAGGCCTCCTAGGTGACCTCAGTTAAAAGGCAAATATCTCATTCCTAAAGGAAGATATGAAACACCCAGTAAGGAACCTGCTGCCCCGTGAGGAACCTCCTTTAGCAATGCAGGAGGGAATTATGGCTAGAATCTCCAAAATGCCTGGTAAAGAAAATGAGTCTTCAGAAGGCATCTGTATGCCATGAAATTGAGGACTAGAGAGACCGACCAAATAATCTGGATGGACAGGTTGAAAAAGAAAAAAAAAATTGTCACTAAATCCTCTAAAATTGAAAACGTGCATTCATTAACTTTGCCCAACAGCTCATCACCACGTTGGCCCTCTTGCACCACAATACTATCAGATCGCACACAAATCCAGAAGGAAAAACTGTAGGTTTTTAAAATGCTCTGAGTGTCTCATAACCATGCTGATCTCTTCAAAAAAGACAACTGTGCCCTTCTCTTTGTGCGTCTTTCAAAAAGCTGCTTCCAACTTGCATGCCCAGCGCTGAGCTTGCGATGATGGCTAGCCCACCCTGTTTTACTCCCCAGGAAATCTCTCCCCTGTCAATGCATGGCAACTCTGTCCTCATAATTCCTCAGACCAAAGCCTGGCAGTGCTCTTTATACTTGTTTGGGTGCGTGCCATAGCCATCAGGAAATCCTGCAGATGTGACCTTCACTGCCCACTGCCCCCCCACCTAAGTGCCGGGACCTCGGCCCAGGGCACCATCACCTTCGCCTGTTGAGTGCTGTTGCTGTTTCTACGGTTTTACAATCAACATCACAGCCACAGGGAACTTTCAGAACCAAAATCCGCTCCACTTGTGCTGGGCTCAAATGCCCTTCAATCAGTGTCTCTGCCTCTAACTTTCAGCATAAAATTAATTTCCCAAAGCCCTGCACGGACCCTCAATTGTTACCTTGCTTTCTTCTCTCTCCTCCTCCGGCTATATGGGGCTCTTGGCTCCTGTGGGAATCTGCTCTACAGCCTCCTCTAAGCTTAAGGCCCCTACACTTCCTACGCTCACTCTGCCTTGGATGTTTGCTCCCAGCGTCTGCATGGCCACCCTCACCTGTTCAGGTTTTCAAACTCCATTGTCCTCCCCACACAGTGGTCATTTAGTTCCCCAATATAACGCAGCATCTGGACAACTGGCTGTGACTCAACAAGACCTTGAAGGTTATGTTGGATTGACTGAGGGACCAAAGAGCTATGATTATAGAAGTCAGGAATGCTTCAGACATAGCTCAGTGGCACCAGCATCTGCCTGGCAGCACAAGGTCCTCAGTTCAAGTCTCAAGACCCACTGCCCCCCACCAAAAAGAAAGAAAGACTCTGAAACTAATATAAATGTTATGGAGAGGGCAGTCCTTCTCCCTTTGCATGCTGGGTAGTAGTTCTTACAGGTGGAGGGAAGAAATGTAGAGACAAAAGAAAGACCAGCTGCCAAAAAAGAATCCACCCACCTTCAAGGTTGCTCTAAAAGTCAGGGTTTGAGGACCTCAAAGCCTATCAGTAGCCCAAGTCTTCCCTGGGCCCATCCCCATTTCCAAGCAAAACAATTGCCAAGGAAGAAAAGAACACTTCCCAGGTCTTTCATACTTCAAAGGCCTCAACTTCAGTTCATTTCAAATATGCCAGACTGTTCCTGTACAGCTTAACATATAGCAAAAATGCTCCTGGACCAAGCAAGAATATTCTTTCTCTTCTTAACCCAGTGTTAAAGTAGCAGACAGTGTTCCCCGCCCGAGCTCAGTCATCCCAGTGAGGAATTGGTAGGAATTTGATTTACAGCAGACTTAATGTCCAGGGTCACCCTGCTGCAGAATGAGGGAGGACAGGGCTGCCACCCCGGCAGCTGGTCACAGGGCTTATGTCACTGTAGCTTAGCCTCCCCTGCCCTCCCCACCCAATGGCAAATGGGGTCAGAAAGGCTCCACGAATGCCACATCGTTGTTCAAAGAAGATGTAAAAATATCTAATTCTCAACCTGTTCAGGTAAAGAGTTGAAAGTTGCAAGAAGAAAATATCACTTGATATAATGTTAAAATATTTATAAAAATAGCAATCGGAATTTTCTTCTTGAAATGATGGTAGAGAGAAGTGTAAAAAATAGACTGAAGTATAGCCTTCCTTTGAAAAATTACTTTTAAAAAGTAAATATTAAGAAGCTTGGTTGGAAAACATGTAAATAAAGTCTTATAAATATAGCTGCTCATAAAAAAGTGGTTTTCTCTGGGAACATTTGATTGTGGACAGCTCGGCTAGAGCAAGCAATGTTAACATATTGCTTCAAATCAGGTTTTGAGAACACATTTAAAAAATAAAAAGAGTGAAAACAAGATTCTACAAATATCTGAGAGGCCTTAGTCAGGAGTGGGAGGAATTCCTTAAACCTGGCTCACTGAACATCTTCTGATAAAGCATAATTGGAATGGAAGAAATTTTAGACTAAAAGATTTACACAATATTAATTACCTGCCATCCCATTTTTCCAAAAGGCCAATATAGTGAAAAAAGGATTTAGTAAGGCAAAGCTAAAAATCAAAATATTTTCAATAAATAAATGTATATATGTAACTTTTTATACTTTTTAAATGGTATTATGTATATATGTGCTTTTCTTACTAAATAGTTGATTAAGTAGCTCATCAAAGATTAAATGTTTGATTAAATAGCTCATATTCTTCAGAAAAGATAAAATCTTGTGATAAGAAGTCAGATTTGGTGTTACCTCTGGCCATTTTTAATAGGCAATAAGAAATGCAGAATCTAATTTGCCCTCTTAAGCAGTTTCTCTTGGTGCTACTTCTCAGGGTGCTGTCAAACAGGCAGCGGGCTCCAAGCTCACCCCTCGGAACCCTGAACCTTCGAATACTCGAGCACAGCAGCCCACACCAGTCGTCACCGCCTTCCTCAGGTGGCCACTCGAGATTTCCCCCATCCTCAAATCACTCCTCCTTCCCAAGTATCCCCACCCCATGCCAATTCCAGTATCTCAGCCCTTTCAGGGTACACAAAGTGCCTCCCAAAGCTACTATGCCTCTCTGATAGTCCATGCTTAAGGAAAAGCTAGAGAGGTCTGTCTTTTCTTCCTGCTTTCCCTCTCTACCCTCATAGCAGGCTTCCTTCTACTCCAACCAAAGAAATACTGATCCCTAGGACTCCAATTCGACAAGTGGGAACTTGAGGCCAGTATGGGCAAGCAATATGGCAGCCAGCCAGGGACTCTTCAGGAGCAGACGGGGCCTCTGTCACACTGTGAGCGCCCCTTGCCTGGGGAGCTGCATGCTAGCCCCCTGCAGTGCCTCTTGGTTCTGCCTCAACATAGTTGAATAATGTAATGCCTTCCCCTCTTTTGTTCGCTCAACCTACAACAAGCTTCCAAACTGCAGACGCAGGGCAAACAGTGCAGGGAACTGGACATGTAGCTCCAGGCAAATCCTAGAACTGCAGCCCTTGCAAGAAGCGAAGGAATCCCTGGATCTGAGACTCCCCGGTCCCTATGGTTCTACCCACTCTCACAAGCCAAGCTTCGCCTGAGCTCCTCCTGCTGCCCCTGGCTAAAGCCAGTGGAGAACACGCTGAGCTGGCACAACACTGGCAATTTTGCCTGCCGTGGAGAAGCCAAGTTACAGCTGGCACAGAGTTGGTGCTGCTGATTACTAATACATTACGGTTCTACAGAAAATTCATGAAAAGGAGTTACGATTTTCACAGAAAATACTTCAAGCAACAAAAATAATATGGTGACATATTTCATGCACAAGTAGCAATTCTCTTTTATCTCTGGCAATGAATTCATCCAGTGGATACATATTGGAGCTAACACATGAGAAAATAAGTCCTGTGAGCCTGGGTCCAACCCAGGGTGTCTGTCACAGCCACTCTTATTTTCTCACCTCCATATTTGGGCATTTTACAACAAATGAAAGAAGGCATTATGTCCACTTAGTATATAGGCATAAGTCACATAACAACAAAGAAGGCTTTATTCTTCTTCACATTAAGCATTGAGGAGGAAATGTACTTACTGATAACTAATTTAGTATCCCAAGCTACGTGTCAGCATTTGGATTTTGCAATCTTCCAGGCCAATATTTGCAATTTATATCTAAGACTAGATGTAAAAATGTTCAGCTAGTGAGAAGGTCACTAAGAGGAGAAAGGGAAAAAAAAAAACCTTTGGAAAACAGAACAAAGTACACAGATAGGGAGAAAGGTACCCTCTGCGCCTCAGTGGTCCATAGAGTTTGCCCTCTCTGCTATAAAGTGATTTAACATTAACCACATTTCACCCCAGCAGCTGAATTCTACCTCCTAACCAGCACTCCTTTCTGCAAACTCCACTGAGAAAGGGAAAGAACACATACACACAAAAGAATGTGAAACATACTGCCACAGGCCAGGGTCTTGGGCGGTTTGCCTAAGAGGTTTGCTTTCAGTGAAGAGGGGAAAAAAAAAAAAAAAAAACCAACAACAACAGCTTGTACAGTGAGCAGCATGCCTGCTTTTTGGCAGACTTTCCCAGCGTGCAGTTCCAGTTGCCGAGCCTTGAGCCCATTCAAGAATTCCATCTCATAGGAAGTGTTTCAAATATGGTCATCTGATCTTCCCAGCGCTTGCAAATGCACCTGCTGAGAGCCATGACGCCCTATCCAAGCTCCTGTGCCTGCTTTCTGTGGGCTCTCTCAGCTGGGGCTGGAGCTGAGGCAAAGTACATGAAAACTACACCTCGCACCGCCTCGGCTGAGGCAGGAGGCTGGGTCCCAGGGGGCAGAGGTCATTCTCTCTCCCCACCCAGCTTCCCTGTCACTTTTTCCCTGAAGCAGGTAAAAGGCTTGGTTTTGTTTGCTGGCTTTCCAATGCCAGGGCTTACCTGGAAGAGGAGATGGACTCCTCGCCCTGCTTTGCATGGCTGTCCCCCACGGCCTGGTCCTTGCTGCTGGGGTGGTAGGCAGTTAGCACAACTCCCTGGGAACTGGAGAGCCAGCTCATGGTGACAGAAGGGGCATAATTTCTGCGATCCTGACTCGGAGGGGAACGGAGTTCCTGTCTCTGTCAGGCAACTTGCTCATTAACATGGGCCGGCTCCTCCCAGGGGCGGTGTCTCCCAGCCTGGGCTTCCTGCCTGTTCTGCTAGAAGCTGCGACTCACAATACTGTTCAGTCCCCAGCAACTCCAGCCTGAGTGGCTTCAGCTCAGGCAGTGGGGGTCCGGCTGCACCTACCAGGGAATTATCCTGATCTGCGGAGACTGAGGCCTATATTCTTAACTCATCCACGTAAGCACAACTGTGCCGGTCAGGAAACAGTGGATCATTGCAGCGCCTTCCCCCATTCCCAATTCCTGCTTCCATCTGATAATTTCTGCTACTTCATGTAACATGAGTAAGGGCATTTGTTAACCCCTTCAGGAACAGTGTGACGCCAACCACAGCAAAACCCAAACAGCAGCAGCAATCCTGGGCCATATGGTCCACAGGAGAGTTCTGCAGAGGCTTATAAATGCCCCCCCTGAATTACTGTGTGCTTGGGGATGTCTTCTTTCTCTAGGAGCCACGGCCAAGCCCATCCCATTTTACAGAAAAATTCTTCAATGCCAGAAAGAGATCGCTATCAATGCTCTGTCAACTGTTATTGCTGAGAATGAAAAGTATCATCCACCATGTGTTTCCACCTGTGTGTGCATACACTTGTGCACTGCTGTGAACAACACACACACAGAGACACAAGGATAGGTGTCACCAATAAAGTAAGGAAAATCAGGCTAAGCACAGGCTACTAAATACCATTACTGAGTGCAGAAAGCTGGATCTGAACTATCCTCTTTCAACAAAATTCTGTCTTAAGAAACAAGCTTAAAGTTTCTGAAAAGTGCCAGCTGTTTCTAGATTTTGTCTTCCCCAAAAGTTCTCTTTTTGACAGCCCTAGTAACCGGAAGTTCTTTGCTGATCTTTATGATCTCCTTGGACTCCTGTGGGGTTCCTCATAAGCTGGATTTTGATTTCACCATTCCCCAAACATGGTTCACTCTTAGTATTATTTAAAACTGTGAGGAAAAAGCCCTGTCCTATCTGCAGTGAACTTTCATTTACAGAAGTCTTCCTCAAAAAGAGGTGATTACAGGTCCTTCCCATCCCAAATTAGGAGCTCAATCTCACCACCTCCACTTCTTATCTAGTCCCCCAGCCCCAACCTCAGAGCCATGTAACCAAGTGCTGGCTTCCAGCTTCCAGCAGGCTTCTAGCTCAGCTCCTCCCTCCCCTGAACTGTCTGACATTCCACTCCCCTGGCCCACTCAGGGTGTCTAAGGCCAAAATTTCTGAAAGGAACTAGGGCATCTGCCTGCCCTGCCTTCCCTCCCAACGCCCCAGAGCCAACACTGATGATACGCTCACTAGTTGGGGCAGAATGAAAATATACGAGGAAGAATAAAGCTCAAACTAGGGAGAGGCACATGTTTTGTTTTTTAGTTTTTAAACTTTTTGTTTGTGTGCATTTGCAGCCCACAATGACGCCGCCCTCGTGGGAAGCTGGCGCGGAGAGGTGACCCATCTTCATTGTCTCGCCATCTCTTGGTCTTAGTTCCACGTGCAAACGATGTGTCTCCTTATTCCCTGTTATCCTTTCTGTTCATCTGTTATACTTTGGTTTTCTCACATAAAGGAATCCACAGAGTATTTAAATTCACAGTGATTTTTTGTGGTATTTAAATTCATGTCTGATTTACTTCACTTAACACTATGCTCCTGAGATGCATCCATCTTCCTACAGATGACTCAGCTTTATCCTTCATTACAACAGGGTAGTACTCCACTGTGTGTAAATACATCGTAATCATCCATTCACCGGTTATGGATGTAGAGTCCCTGTACAAGTTTCAGCCTTTATGAGTGTGCTGCTATGGGACATGGGAGCACACACATCACTGACATGGGTGGTAGGGTCCCTCCAGACGGGTCAGGTCAGTCCCTGTTTACAAGAGAGCAGTATCAACCTCTGTGCACATCTATGTAGTTCTGCTATAATTCCATCACATAAATCATACCCAAACAGACTGTAAGCTGTTAGCGCATGCCCATAGAAGAGAGACAAAGACACAAAAATTGAATAGAAGGATGCAACTCAGCCATGCTCAGTGCTCAGCCTTTGGATACGAGCCTGCTGAGTTCATGCCAGCAGGGATAAAGCTGCTGTCTGGGGACAAGGCCTCAGTGTCCCCCTCTCTGCACCAAAATCCCGCAGCATGATGTGTCTCATCCCATGTTAGCTGTTTTGTATGAAAACTCATCTGATAAAAATAAGCACACCTTTACTTCTTTTGCTCAACAATTTTAAACCATCACTTAGAAGGCCACGCCCTGGATGATGTTAATACTCTGATCTAGCGAAAGCATGCCAAATACTTTGCTGTTAGGACACGTTTAATGTCCTGACGTGGAAAACTGTTTCACGCTCCTCACATTCACACTTTTTCTTGAGGTAGTTGTGTGCTGCAGAATGCAAAAGTAGTGAGCCCACTGGGGTGCAGTTACTGAAGGCAACGCCCACACTCTCTTCTGGAAATTCGTTCCCTCCCTGCTTCCTATTTGCCCCTTCCTTCCTGTGGGTCCCTGAACCTCCTTTTGACCTTCTTCCTCAATTTCTCTTCTACTTTCCCCTCTTCCTCTGCCCCGTCTTCAGTTCAGGACTCGCACCAACAGTCATGAATCAGTCAATTCAGGATAGAAGCAAACTTTGTCCGTTTGTAACCAGAACAATAATTAAGTTAAACCTTTGCCTAATTATAGTCTCTTTACTTGTTTAATGACACTCATAATGTAGAGGTTGGCCTGGAACTATTTTATGAGTTCAAACTAATGTTTGAGTTCAGAGTAACCATGCTTTTTAATTTCGGTGAGGCAGCAAATAAAATGTGATTAAAAACTGATTTCCATAGTACAGTACATGAAATTTGAATCCTATTCATTTTCAAGGACATGGAAATCCTCTGGGCCCCTCTCCCCTCCTTCCACTAATCTCTGATTTTACAGCTCTGAGGTAGTGCATGCCACAGGTGGCTAGTCGGTAGGACCATACCCTGTACATACAGCCTCAGGTATACACACTCAAGTACTTTAAAAATAGTTCCGGAATTTTCCTATGTCATCAGGGTTGCAATCCTAACCACGAACATGGCTCCTTATAAGGCTGTTCTTACTTTTTCGGATGCTGAATTTTATAAAGATTTACCCCAATCAAGCCCTTATTCCTCATTCACTTTGCACATAAGCACATGCTCTTCCTCCTTTCCTCAATCATTTTAAAGAAACACTGAGAACCTTGTGTCCTTGAAGATTTTGATGCTGTAAACTATTGTAAGCATGCCAAATACTTTCCTGTTGGGAAACATCTTAGTAATTAACAACCGCAGGACACTTTAAACATGCATTTCATTCATTCTCTTTCCATGGAGGGGACTGAGGGTCACAGGAAGGAAAAGGAAGCCAATCATCCTTGTACTCAGCTTGTTAAAAATAGGATGGAGATGGTGCGGCTGGGGCTGAGGACCTGACAACCCTGTTCAAGAATAATGAAAGAAATTTTCCTGGGTTCAGTGTGAGTGCTATCACAGAATTTATTGTTTTTGTATTTTGATGTAGAAGCTTACTTCATAATGCAGAATTCTATTTGAATGGAACCAAAATTATGAAATCAACATATTTATAGACAATGCTTTTGATTTACTTTGAAGGAATTAAGTAAGGATAAAGTGTACCTTCCTCTAATCCCTGTAAGGTAATGTAAGTCTTATAAAGGGACATAAACCCATGTAAAAATGATTTCTCAATTATCGAAGTTAAAGCCAATTTATAATAATATTTTAACAAGAGTTTGAGTAAATTAATCATCAAGTGTGATGTTATGGCATTACCAAAGAGATGAAAAGTACCTTTGTAAAGTAGCGTTCACTACTGCAGAGGGAGTATTTTGACCTCTGCTCTCTGATGCCTGGGTGGGTCTTTGTAAGAGTAACTCCTGAAAGTGTGTATCTTAGCCAATTCTGTGCTGAGGAACTGGCACTGGAAAACTCCCCGTGTATAGAATCTAAACTGACTTTCTAGGAAATGGTAGCCCTTGCTAATTCTATCTGAAGCAACAAGGAATGAAGTGCCCCCCTCTCCGGACAGCTCTAAAGATTTCTGCATTATTTTCAAAGTTATTTTCCTAACTGTTCCTCCAAGGGAAAAATATGAGCCATGCTTGATATAATGCGTAGCTGCTATCGGCAGAGGCTAATTTAGACTTCTTGGCAAACATGTAGAAAAAAAGTATTTTTATGGCTGGGGAGGGTTTTTGTTTTTACCAATAAATAGTAATTGCTAATAGTTAAGTGCTTGTTATTGCCAGACGTGGCCCACATAGACTCGTATTCAATCACAAACCTAAGAGATTCTGGAATTCTGCCTACGTTAGAAAGGAGTAATGGGGGGGGGGGCACCTAGCTGGCAGGACATGTCAGCCTTGGTTTCTGTGAGCACTGAGCCTAAGCACCGAAACGTTATGAAGGTTACAGCTGTCACGAACTGACAGTTTCATTTATGAAAAGAACCGTATGAATAACTAGGTAAATACTCTGTAGCAAATTTCAAACTTTTAACTGAAATACTGACGTCAGTGCAGTATTTTAAAGATTTTCATTCAGACACCCACGCGTACCTTGGTTTCTTTCCTAACAGTGTGAAATTTTATTTTTATCTCAAATTACGAGAGTAGTGTGGTACAGCATACACATCACTCTAATCGCTGTTACACTATCCTAACATTGTTTCTGCTGCCATGAAATGAAACTATTCTGGCCATTATAATTAGGAATATTCTTTATTCTTTAATACGGGACAGCTACAGAGTAGATTTGTGAACCTGAAAGTGTATAGAATTTGTCAACCACAAGGCCTTGGAAGGGGTCAAGTGAGACCAAACCTGAAAAGGTTTAACTTCATTCAACTTTGTAGGAAATCCAACAATTACATCAAGACCAGCCCAAACTAAACACTGTTCAAGAAAAGAAAATACAACGACCCTAATATTTCCTTTAGTCT